ACTTGTGCAACTGCACAAAAACATAAATTTCCCGTAATGTTTTTAGTGGTGACATTGCACCCTGGTGTATTCGGGAGCGGATTAGTTGGAGTGTGCAACGATGTATGGTATCGCTCTCCACCGGAGCCCTTATAAAAAAGTCTGTCGACAGTCAACAGATTTGGCATGTCCAGAGCGACGATTACTCTCAATTCGAATTGCGGAAGCCTTCTATGATGCCTCCTATAGCCAGGTTATAAGGTGTTATTAGTAGACGTGCACAATGGATGAAAAAATCGTTATGCCCTTTCAGGCACGGCGCGCGCAGCACTGCACTCGGCCATCCAATAGCCATTTAAACGGTGGCCCGCTGGACAGCGGTTGTGTGAACGGCCTGATGGGGAACTGGCTTCCTGAGCATTTTCATCACGTCCCTGGTTTATGTCGGAGGATGGACGAGGCTCCATTTAACGGCGGCCAACGTTCGATATGCCGTAACACCGCCATAATTTGTGACACTTATAGGCAACCGTTTTGTTCCCGGCAGCCGTATATTTATCAGACTCGAGCACACTCTTATCTCAGCCTTCACCGAAGGTCTTCCCACTATTGGCCAACGGAAAACACTTCAGTTTGCATTTAACTATCTAAGCAAACGATCCCACCTTCCCGAGTCAGTTGCTTTCTGCGGTTAACGTCAACTTCCAGCCGATTAATTCCGGCTTTACTGACCATCAATGTAAGCTACCCCGCACATCAGCCGGATCCAAATCGATCGACGAGGACTTAACAAGTTTTGTCTTAAAGTCGGGAAAAAACTTTATTTTTAAGCAGGACATTGTACCAAGGTTGGGCACAGAAAGGGCTTGGATAATGAAAAAAGTACCCGAGTGGGCCTAAGTAATGTTTGTCCTGAGGGCAGCAGGGATTTCAGGACAGGATGTGCATGTGGATTCTATCCCTTCGAAGATTCCTTTTACCGCCCGAATCAGATTTTCAAGTCACTCCTAACTATTGCTATAAGGCTCTTCTATTATATCGAATAAATTTGCCCAGACCAACTCCAGGTCGAAGTCTACGTCAGATGATCGGCCAGACGACGATATGA